ATATATATATATATATATATATACACGTAAAAATTTGAGCATGTAGCAGCAAGGGGAGGGAGGCAGAGAAAAGGCCGTCCCACGTCCTACTCTACGCGTATATGCACTGCTCTGGTGGCAAGGATGACGAGGCAGAGAGAGAGACAGAGTGGCTGGAGTGGTGGAGGGCTCAGAAATTTCGTGTCGTTTGAAAAAATTCACAACGTGCCAGAATAAGTTTTACTTGAAAAAAAAATTGATTAAAAGAATTTTTTTAACTTTATAAATCATGATACTTCAGCTGGGGATTCCAGCTTGTGTGTATTAATCCTTTTTTTTAACGGGAAAGAGAATGATGTACAAATACTACTGTGTAGCGCTGACAGCAGCAGTTTGTACTACTGCACAGCACGTACATATCCACAGGCTGACCTCCTCGATATGCTTAAATATGAATAGCCTTTTTCATCAAAGATATACACAGAGTCACTACTTTCTTGTAGTTCCGGTTACAATTCAAGGCAGTTGTAATAGATAATGAACAGTCCAAATAAAATTACAACATATATTAACTTCAATAAATGCCTCGATTATATATGGGATGGTGGCACACTATGCAGGTGACGATCCCGAAAGTTGAGGCTTGCTGTCACGAATGCAACTTTTCATCAACTAGATACGCGCTATTCAACAGCTCACGATAAAGGAACTTAGGAATACTTCATGTTCTTTAGATAAGGCGAATAGGAAAGACTATTCTAACTACACCAAGGTCTTTCTGGTGTTGTTTTCGACGGTGTTATCGACTGCATGGGTGCTCTTGTGTTCGTATAGCATGGAGGCTTGACCTCAAAATCCCTCAGTATTCCGTCACTCGAGAGTCTGCCAATACCATGCTATGCTGCTTCAGTATCGGGCTCGCAACGAGCTCAAGTGTCTGTATGTGCCCTGGCGCGAAGGCGCACTGTCTTCTTTGCGTAGTGTTAGTTTTACGATGGCAAAAAGGATTTTTCTACCTCTCTGCTATATCTTAAAAGAGTGATAGGGAGACGTCTTGTCAACGGTAACTGTGCAACCGTGGCCAAGTGTCGTCTACTCAGACAGTACTCCTTATCTTTATAATAAGCCGTATGTACGTACAAAAATATATGTATACTGACATTAGCTGATCATGCTTATCCGTATTTTTTTATTTAAATATATTATTTACTCAGGAAACCACAGTAATGAGTTCCATTAATCGCCAATGTCAATTTCTTGTGCCAAGCACGTAGTCACCCATCTTTAGATCAAGCCTGTAGAAAGGATGAAATTTTATTTGAATAGTTTATAACTGTTATTGTGCATGCAAAACCTTATTTGCAAGGCTCACCTGCACTTATTCAGTGTGTCACTAACAAAGTTTGCAGGATTATTAGGTACTTTAATAGTTCTTTTGTATATCTTAAGGCTATATATTAAGGCTAGCGCTCCGTTCATGTCATTTTACTTCTCTGACAATACAAATACAGACAACAAGTATTTATTTTATTACAAGGAATATTATTAAAGAAAAACAAAGATATTCAAACTGAGGACAGCTATTAAGCAAAAAAATTTGTGTTTGACGAACGTACGAATAAGGGCCTAGAATTTCAACAGCAGTGGCTTTACGTTTCGGTACAATTGTATATCTTTATCACCAAGAATATTGAGAAATTTTCTCTTGAACTAAGAGTTGTTGATGCAATTGTACCGATACGTAAAGCCACTGCTGTTGATATTCTAGGCCCTTATTCGTACGTTCGTCAAACACAAATTTTTTTTGCTTAATAGCTGTCCTCAGTTTGAATATCTTTGTTTTTCTTTAATAATATTCCTTGTAATAAAATAAATACTTGTTGTCTGTATTTGTATTGTCAGAGAAGTAAAATGACATGAACGGAGCGCTAGCCTTAATATATAGCCTTAAGATATACAAAAGAACTATTAAAGTACCTAATAATCCTGCAAACTTTGTTAGTGACACACTGAATAAGTGCAGGTGAGCCTTGCAAATAAGGTTTTGCATGCACAATAACAGTTATAAACTATTCAAATAAAATTTCATCCTTTCTACAGGCTTGATCTAAAGATGGGTGACTACGTGCTTGGCACAAGAAATTGACATTGGCGATTAATGGAACTCATTACTGTGGTTTCCTGAGTAAATAATATATTTAAATAAAAAAATACGGATAAGCATGATCAGCTAATGTCAGTATACATATATTTTTGTACGTACATACGGCTTATTATAAAGATAAGGAGTACTGTCTGAGTAGACGACACTTGGCCACGGTTGCACAGTTACCGTTGACAAGACGTCTCCCTATCACTCTTTTAAGATATAGCAGAGAGGTAGAAAAATCCTTTTTGCCATCGTAAAACTAACACTACGCAAAGAAGACAGTGCGCCTTCGCGCCAGGGCACATACAGACACTTGAGCTCGTTGCGAGCCCGATACTGAAGCAGCATAGCATGGTATTGGCAGACTCTCGAGTGACGGAATACTGAGGGATTTTGAGGTCAAGCCTCCATGCTATACGAACACAAGAGCACCCATGCAGTCGATAACACCGTCGAAAACAACACTAGAAAGACCTTGGTGTAGTTAGAATAGTCTTTCCTATTCGCCTTATCTAAAGAACATGAAGTATTCCTAAGTTCCTTTATCGTGAGCTGTTGAATAGCGCGTATCTAGTTGATGAAAAGTTGCATTCGTGACAGCAAGCCTCAACTTTCGGGATCGTCACCTGCATAGTGTGCCACCATCCTATATATAATCAAGGCATTTATTGAAGTTAATATATGTTGCATTTTTATTTGTACCATGGAGTTACCATCTTACCGAGCAATCTTTGTTAGTGACACACTGAATAAATATGGGTGACCGTCTCTTGTTAAATATTTACAACTAATGTTTTGCATGCACAATGACAGTTATAAGCCATACAATTACAATTTTATCTTTACTGCAGGACAGTACTGCTGCTGGCTGGCTGGCGAGCAGCTCGCCAA